AATTATTACCAACTTATCAAATAAAATTATTTCCACTTGGGTGTAAGTAGAGTTGTGTTATTTTTTTATAAGAGTAGTATATATTACTTACTAATTAAATTGTATAATATGCAAATATTCATATTTTATCATAAAAGTAGTGTCCATAACGAAGAACGCTCGAAGTGCGTTTAATACAACAAGTTAATTAAATAAGTGAGATAATTTTAATAACCTCAAATAAAAGATATTCGAAAAATTATAGGTGCTTATACCTCTGACAGCCATTGTCGTCCAGACAATGGCTTCAGGCTATGCCGGGACCGAAGAACTTATGCACACACCTGAATTCAACCCACATGAGCTGCATCATCCACCTGGTAGTGAATCCGAGCACCTTCAGAACCCTAGAACTAATGTCGAGCACCTTAGAAGTCCTGGATCCGAGTATCTACAAAATCCAGGATCCGAGCATCTGCAACACCCAGGGTCTGAATACTTGGAGAACCCTGATCACGATACTGGATATCTGAGGCATACACGCAAAGAAAAATCCGAGTACTATCTACGCCACCCACTACGGTCCGAGTACTTGAGTCATCCTAGTCAAGAACGGAACACTGAACATTTTCGACACACTCGTAGCGTCAAGCACCTGAAACACCCATCTAGATACGGTACCGACAACGTAGAGTATCTCAAACACCCACCCAGTAATCACTTCGACAATGTGGATCCTTACCAACCTCGACCTGCCCTTGATACCGACCAAACAGGATATCTCAAACATCCACCACAAAGCCATAATTACGACTATGTCGATCCTTATCACCCTCAACCAGCCCACGATTCCGACCAAACTGGATACCTTAAACATCCACCACAAAGCCATCATTACGACAATGTGGATCCTTACCAACCTCGACCTGCCCATGATTCCGACCAAACAGGATACCTCAAACATCCACCACAAAGCCATCATTACGACAATGTGGATCCTTACCAACCTCGACCAGCCCATGATTCCGACCAAACTGGATACCTCAAACATCCACCACCTAGTCACAATTTCGATCATGTAGATCCTTATCATCCTCAACCAGCCCATGATTCCGACCAAACTGGATACCTCAAACATCCACCACCTAGTCACAATTTCGATCATGTAGATCCTTATCATCCTCAACCAGCCCATGATTCCGACCAAACTGGATACCTCAAACATCCACCACCTAGTCACAATTTCGATCATGTAGATCCTTATCATCCTCAACCAGCCCATGATTCCGACCAGACTGGATACCTCAAACATCCAGGTCATGGTTACGATGAACGTTATTGAACCTCATTATGACGGATAAACTAGTTTGATTACAAAAGTTATGATAATTGTTGATGAGAATGTTGGCTAGTAATTTTTCGCACTTTACATATTGGGTGACTCATTCTGATATTCCATGACATATAGTTAGTAATACATATCTACCGTTGAATCTCTACTACATGACATTTTTTGTGAAACCTGCAATGGTACAGTACAAATTTTTACACCAATGTTAGGTGTGTTCATCAAAAAGACACGAATAAATATTTGGTAGTTTTTATACAATTATTCTTTACAACAACATTTCTTTCAGAATTTCGTTTTTTTTTTATCCTTACTTATAATTTGTATGATTTACTTAACAAAAATGTTACTTTGAAAAAAGTATTTAAATACATTTAAAAAAATGTAACATCGTAAATAAATGATTTTCAGTTCTAAATGAATATCCATTGTGTCATTTTATTATAAAACAACTTTTGAAGATTCGTTTCAACCGTCAGCTTACATGACTCCCAAGTGATATCAGTTATCGTTTGAAGAAGAGTCATCGAGCATCTGCCGCGTACGACTTGTCGTTATTTTTAATGTGCTGTATACATATACATCGATGTATGAGTCTTGATCGCGTAATCAAAACTGTTGACGTGAACGAAAAGCTTTTTGTTTTTTTTTTTTCCTTTCATGAAGAAATGATAATAAAGACATTGCTTCACCTTGACTTCCATGACATTGTCGAGATTGCGTATTACATATCAATTTTACCACAAGTGCAGAGAACTAAATAATTTTTGTATAATTACGTAAATGTTACAAGAAAATTAATTTCTTAGCATCTTTGAAGATACTGCATTATATTAATTTTTCCTCTAATCAATGAGATAATTTTTTTTACTCAAATAGTCGTGTATCTCACACTCGTTTTATCGTACTCGTAAGATACTCCTTTTATCATGTACCATTTGAAATTTTCAAAGTTTACAGATAAAAGTGTTTGTATTGGATCGTTGGGCAGTACGCACGTGGTCAGTTGATAGCTAGACTTTCAGTACAAATACAGTAATTTAGGGTAACTATTTAATCAAATTTTCATTGGACTTGTAACGCCAACCTCCACAGGCTCAAAAAACCTCTACATGTTACGAAACAAATTTTTTTAATTCCATACGTATATGTTTAAAAAAAAGAGCAGAAAAAACGATGTTTTACACTTAGAGATAAAAAAAATTTCTTTTCTTTGGAAATTTCTTGAGTAAATATAAGTATACGTTTTAAAATTATTTACTGCATCAGTGATTCTACAAATAAACTGAGAAAAATTTGGTCAACGAATTTTGTTGTTTATATGTTCTTAAAAATAAGTGATGGTATGGATATGTAAAGTACTGAGCGTGATACACTTTATTAATCAAATATTTATTTATTGTAACAATATTTAAATAAAAATCAATTTTTCAGGACAAAAAATTTGTAAGTAAGCCCCATGGTTTTGAGCAAAGTATTTGGAGTTTTGAAAAATATCTTTTTTTATGAAAACTATTGGCTTGAAGAATTTTCGATTCAAAATGAGTAGGAAAATTAAATTGTGTACGCTGTATTTCTTGCATGTTTATATCTTTTTAATTTCAACACATCACTAATCAAAAATATTAAAGTTTTTCTTCTGATAGTCGAAAAAATTAATTTGATGCATACTTACAAATGACAACAGACAAAGTTCAATAATGAAAGTGTTAAAAATGTATAGATAATAAATTTTAATCGATTAAATTAATATTGGTATTAGTCATGAATGCTGAACCTCTTATGTTTACTTATGTCTATTAAAAAAATTTCTTGGCAACGTTTGGATATTTTTTCATGATAAGGAAAATGTGAAGGAAATTCCCTGTCTTGACGTCAGTTATTTTTGAGCTTTTGATGCTTGGTTTAAAACGTATCATATTAAGTTGAGGAATCTTTAACACTATACAAGTAGCAAAACAGATGTTCATCAAACGGTCTTGTTGAAAAAAAATTTTTCAATAGATATATTTTTCAAATAATATGTATAATTTAAGTAAAATTATGTACCACAAGATTTGATATAATTTATGAGCTCTAAAAAATTGAGTTTCTTTTTACTTTAATCATGTACTTATAAAAATTAGAGAAAAAACTATTTTGCCTGACGATCATTTTGCATTGTTTATCCAAATGTATGCATGTTTTAACTAATACATCATTTTTTCATTTGAAATAAAATAAAATATTTTTTCAACAAGTGTGTACTAGTTGCCACCACCTATTCATCAGTCATATCAGTAGATATTTTAAGTTTAATCATACTTTTTTTAAATCTACAATTTTTCTAGAAACTTTTAAATTGAGTTTTATCGATGCTCAAAATCAATTACTTGAAAACAACACCTGTAAATCTGAATAGTTTTCAATTTACATGACTTAATTAAGGTATTGTTATACACATATTATGTACGCATTCACCGCTGTACCGACCTATGAAATGTTAAAATATTGTATCATACAAATTAGAAGACCTCCTTACTACTTGTACAATTTTGTCACGCAAAATTATAACAGTATGAGCAGAATAAGTCATGCACCAATGGATCGAAGAAACAATGAAAGACCTCGATGTTTGAACTAAGAGGCAATAAGGTTGCGATCCAAGTATTCCTTATAACTTTAACCTAACCTTAAATCACAATGAGATATTTTATGCTCAGACTAGATAGAAAATCTTAATATTATTAATATAACCACCAAAAAGGCAGTAAGGGTATGGTAATGGAACACGTTTAGGTTGAGTACAGTGTGGGTAGTATTTTTTTCTGTAATGTATACCATTCATGAGGACACTTTATTCTGTTATTTAAGCTGAACAGTATACTTGTAAAGGAATCAATTATAAAATAAATTCTTTACACAAAACTACTATTAAGGTCATATTTTTTTCATTCGAAATGTGAGAAGTTATTTAAAGTGATAAATTCTTTCCACGTCATTTCAAGTGTTTTTATTAAATATAAGCTACACAACCATATTTATACCATCCAATACTAATTAATTAATTAATTATTTGTACCATGCACTCACAGAATCACAGCATATTTAACAAAATTCTTGAACTTGATTGATAAAAAATAAAATGATACTCATGATTTTATCAGCACAAAGTAAGTGCATGTCCCAAAAAATATGATTTATTTAGATTTACATTGCAGCGATTTTTTCCGTTCATAAATTAATATTGCTTCAACGTTCCATACCATTTTATTTAATTATTGTTTATTAAAATAAACANAAAAAAAAAAAAAAAAAAAAAAAAAAAAAAAAAAAAAAATCGAGAACCTGCATCATAAAGATCAAACATTAGCATAAAGCGGGCAATTAAAAAAAGGCTGAAAACGCGCTAAAATCGCAATAACAGTGGCACCCGAGTCGCGCTAAAACAACAAAGCGGCGGTAAAGTCGAGCCACCCCACAAACATGCAGAAAGAGAGTAAGTAAAGCCGCGGTGTATTATATACACAACGGGAGGAGAAAGGCGCTCGCGTTTATGCTTCTGGCAGCTGTTCCGTAGGACGTTGCCAATATCGGTTCCCCACTTAATGATCTGCCCTCTGTGCGCGACACTGTCGTAAACTTCTACCCCTCCCGTCTGGCCAACTTCTTCCTCGACGCTGTTCTGACCGTCGAAAATCGCTAGTCCCACTGTATGCTAATCTGCACCCGAGCCCGTACACACAAACACAAATGGCCCTTACACCAGCGAATGGCCAACCCTTCTTTTCTCAAAATAATTTTGTTAAAGTCAACCAGATAAATAATGTTGGAACTGTGACATTACACGCGCGTTTTATTTGCCTCCCTGTGCATCGGTGACGCATCATCACGATCGAAAGAAGAGAAGAGGAAGAAGAAGAAGAAGAAAAAGATCGTGGAATCCGCGTGGGAAAGTATCGACGTATTTTATGGCTCCCCGGTTGGGAGTGAGTATATGTGTATGTATGTGTACCACGTGGTAGTCGGCATCGATCAGCCGTGTCCTTTTTCCCCATTCGATCGGTCCAAAAGGAAGGAAAGAACAGTGACGCAACGCCGCAAGCCGACCACAGTCCGTCCTTTTGCGCGTGGAATGGCAACTCGAGATATAGTGAGAGAGAGAGGTGTCCCCGCGACGGGGCGAGTTTGTCGCGCGCTGCGTCGTCGTTTTATTTCATGGTTCGGCACGTGCAGCGCGACGAGGAGGAAGACACACGGATATTTATCGGGCCATTATTCCGATACGGCAAAATCGATATTTCACCTCTCCAATCGCGATTTTGAGAAGCCCTTGTTCGACCGCTGGCCGTGCCATATATCAACTACGGTGTGTACACTCGGAGGAGAACAGAGACGGTGGTGTCCCAAGCTGCGACACTTCTGGAGTTCCTTTCCTATACCTCGCGGACTTACCACCAAAATATATATATATATATGTATTATAACGACGCGAGACACGACTGAGTTATGGCTCCCTCTTCTTCTCGCGCGATTTTCTCAAACTCGTTCCGATGACGAATCAATAACCCCGTGGAGTCACGCGCGTATCGTGTGTGTATTTTAAGGCTCGCCGAGGGGCATGAATTGATTGTTTTGTTTATCGCTCGGTTGAAAAAAAAAAAAAAAATAATAATAATAAAAAATAATAACTAATAACAACACTTATTAAACTTTGTTATATTCTTAAATCTGGCCTTTACAAAATATTGTTGTTTTTTTTTTCTTTTTTTGTTACTTAATCATAAAAAACATTCCCGCTTGGGATTATTTCATTGTAACAAAAGTGCTCACTTTTTTCCTGCTCTATTACCGTACAAAACAATCTATTAGCTTGATAGATGGGATCCTTGTACCACATCTACAGGAGGAAGTCATGACTGATCCAATTACATTGCAACTTTTTTTATGCCCGTTTTTCCTTCATCCTTTCACTAATTAAAATACGTTTACGGTAAAGATCCTCTCATAGGATCGCTACTTCTCTTAAAAGAGGGGAATTGATGACCTTCAATCGTTACACTCACCTATACACTTTAACAGTAAATCAATCATTTTCGTAAATAATTTTTACAATAATTTCAAGGCAAAAATATCATCAAAGACTGTCAGGTAAGACAAACAGTTTTGAAAAATTTTTTAAATTCAACAAATTTGAGGAAAAAAGTTGTATTACCACACAAATGTACTGAAAACGTTAAAATGTTATAAATCGTGTAACAAAATTCGGATAGTTGATAAACGCCACCGAAAATTGATCTATAATTTTGAAATGACATTAACGATGGTATCAAACGTAATATATTAGTTAGAAAAGGGTGGTCCCGAGCTAATACTTTTGTTATTTT